AGAGAGAGAGAGAGAGAGAGAGAAGGAGAATGTACTTAAGCTCCTGCAAACGTGCTCGAAGCACGATGGACCGTTTTTTCATTAGGGCCAAAGATAGGAGGGCAACCTTCCGATGTTATTACAGCTCTTTCCTCTTAAACAACCATCTTGTTCTCACTCAAAATATATAAAGTGGTTCGTTAAAAAAGATCTCTATTTATTCGTATGTACGCGTTAAATAGAACGATCATTCGTGTTTCTTTTCTTTTTTTCTTTTTTCTTTTTCCTTTTTGTTTAAAGTATTATAGATCTCTGTATATATTTTAAATGTTATACGTTGTAACGTCGGAGAATTCTCTTTATAGTAATCGAATTATTTCCTCTTAGGCAAATTCATTCCATCCGAAGTTAATGCTTTCGCGAGTTGAAACATGAAAAACGGTATCATTGAAACGCTAACGAACGTATCGCGAGAGAACATTAGAGAGCAACGGAATGGCAAACCGAGGGAGAGAAGATCGGAGACCGCAGCCAACAGCAAGCTGGCCACTAACGAAGGGTTAACGAGCAGCTGTACGTTCTTCTGAGCGAGCTCGTTAAACGCTTCGAAAATCTAGAAATTTTCAAATCTGCGAATCACCCTCTTTCTCTCTCTCTCTTTCTCTCTCTCTCTTTCTCTCTCTCTCTTTTTCTCTTTTGCACGTGTAAATACTTCCCCAAAGCGTTACAGCCGCGCCTACTATTTTACTGCTGCTTTAATAATCGCGAAAGCTTCCCTTTCGTCGTACTCCCTCGAGCGTGACGTAAAGCTTGCGTCCGATATCTCGATCGGAGATACTTCTCCTTCGAGAAGTAAAACCCTAATGCAATTTCTCTATTACAGTAAAACTTCCTAACCGGTAATTTTATCGAATTAACTACGTTCGAATCTAAATAGATGAAAAAAGTTTATTTCGAAAGAATCCGTATCTACATTGTATCATAAAGATTAAAAGATTACGAATATACACGATCGTAAAACAATAAATTGTCATTTTTTTATAACGAAGAGTCAATAAAGTAGTTTAATGGATTAATAATTACGATGGTTCGTCGTGTAATCGGGAAAAAAAAAATATGTATGAATACGAATTTTATTAAAATATACATTTGAATTTATTCATTATGTTATAATTAATATAACGAATTACATTGATTTATTCATTACATTATAAAAATTTATTGGACGGTTTTAATTGTAACGATCAATCGGTCGAATTATATCTCGATTTGTATTAATTGATTACATTGAAATAAAAAGTATTATCAATAAATTCTCTTGAAAGTTTTAATGTATACGATTTAAATCTTAAAAAGAAGAAAAGAAAACGCTTTTACTCGAATCGTTGAAAAGAGGGCGTCTCGTGAATCCGCAAAAAGGTGATCGATATCAACCTTTGAAATATTAATGGGGAGAGTAAGTAGGAAAGACAAACGTAACCGACGGATCTATTTTCAAGCTTTCTCGATGGTTCCACACCCAACGATGCGATTTCTCTCTTTTTCTCTCTTTCTCTCTCTCTCTCTCTCTCTTTTTTCTTTTAATCCGGTATTTCTGCCACTGATATTGCATCAAGTATTTCAATCGGAGTAATATGTGTGACATCAAATTTTAATCTTCAATAAAATACGTATAATTGCGTTAATTTATCGTAAAAAAACAGGTCGTTGAAATATAAAAAAGACTTTCGAAGGAAATTTTTTATCTTAAAAAAAAAAAAAAACATGGAGGAAGAATATAAGGGTTGGGTGGTTAACGTCATAGACCAGAGCGCATCCTAACGACGAAGCGTGAAAGACTCTCCCTTACGATCGATAGCGTGGTGATCCGGGACAATGCTCTGATACTTACTGAAACCTAAAAAATAAAAAAGAAAAATAAAAGGGAAAAAGAGAGGCGGGGAGGGAGGGAGAGAGCAACCGATTCTTTGGCCGTACTGTTTGATCTGTAACACGATGACACGTTGCATCTATCATTTTTCTTTTACAGAAGGTACCTTTCAATCGACAAATTTTGTTCGTGATAATCGGAAAAATTAAAGTTCGATGAGAGTATCAATATACTTGTAATATTTTTCTAAGAAAATAAAAGAGATATGAAAAATATGAACTAAAAAAGCAAAAAGTGTCATGCTCGAAGGATTCGCTTATAACCCATACACACGTACATACACAGACACATGCGCGCGCGCGCGAGCTCACATATAGACACATATACGCTAGCACGAAAATCTTTCAAGGAATGAAATGACCTGAAGTTCAATAGAATTCATAGTATAATAGATCACAGCACGGAAAATACGCGATATAGGTACGTAAGTACATAAGAAGATCTCTTGATCTTATCCAATTGATCGAATTTGATTGATCGTTCGATCTCTTCTTCTCCTTTTTTTTCCTCGAAAATTCAAGAATGCAACTTGTCGAAGAACAACGACGGGAAGAGTAACGACGAATCCAACAAGGTGGCGAATTTTACGGTGGCTATTAACAATGACTCTACGGAGTCAACATACTTCGTCGATCGTTTGCGTCGTCAACAACAAAATCAACTGCAGCAACAGCAACAGCAACAGCAACAATATCAATTACAGCAGTATCTTCAAAGAACATCGAGATGTAGGATACAAACGTTGTCGAGCCACATTCCATCGAACGCGGCAAAAGATATTGTCGAGGATGAACTTAGGAATGATCTCATTTACGTACATTGTGCCACAACCGAGGACGAAGATGTTGACGATGATGACGAAGAGGAGGAACCAAAAGGACTTGCTAGATCTAGATCCTGGCTTTGTTGTCCGGGTGATCGGAGATCCGAGAGAACCGTACCGGTTCACGTAGAAATGGATTATACGGATAAACAACATTCTGTAAGTTCGAAATTACCGCCAAGAATCAACAGCCAACGAGAATAATATAGACATCTTAATTATTTTCCTTGTACATTTTCATATAACTCATACATCGAATATCGTCGCTATTGGTTTCTTTTTATTTATTTATTTATTTTTTGTTTCTATTCCTTTTTTATTTTTTTATCTTTTTTTTAAATCTATTATAAAAAAAGTAGTTAAGTTGATAGAAAATATTTATATATAATCCATTCATGATTTCGGGCCGCACGTTGGTACCAAATCCGGGCAAGTTCCAACGTTGCATCTTGGTTTTGCCATTACGCATTGTCTATTATCCGGACAAGACGGTGCATCCTTGCAGGATTTTCCAGGAAGATGAATATAGTCGTCCTCTTTTTCACTCATCGTTGTTGTTGTCGTTGTCATCAACAAAATCGTGATAACGATAGCGATGACGAAAAACAGCTTCATTTTAAATGCTACTTTGCTACTCTTCCCTTTTCAAGGCTGTCTGTCAAGAAAATGAAGATGGAGATAAAGTTAATTATAAGTGCTAATCTGTGTGAAGAATGAAACGTAAAAAGTTTTTCTAAAAGAAACCGAACGTATCTAACCAACTAAGCCGTTGACAAACCTGTGGGTAACCAGTTTTCAAAGTTCGAGTTATAAATCTTTACGCGTCGAAAAAGAAGACAACGATTAACGCTCGTCGAGTTCTCACACTTGACAGAACATATATTTCTATTTCTTTTTAATTATTTATTCATTTATTTATTTGTTTGCATTATTCATCATGGAATGTATGATCGTATTTATATATCTTGTAATTTCAGTTTATATATCATATTACAAATATCAAAATATCGAACCACCGCACAATAACAAAATAACGATAAGGATAAAATTCCCTAGGGAATTTTAAAAATCAATTACTCTTTTTAGGCTAATTTCTTTTTTTCTTTCTTTCTTTTTTTTCCTTTTTTCTATAGGTTGTAAAATTACAAACCTAACTACAAGTTCTTTTTTTTTGTTGAACGTTTGAACATATCGAAGAATATAGTATAACAATGCACTTTTTACTCACTGCTTGATGTCTTCCTAAGACTTGTAAATTACTGAATATCCGTCGAAACGTTCCGGCATCGAGATTTTTATACCTTTCAGGATCGTCTCTTCTTTTTCTTTTCTCTTTTTGTTTCTTTTACTCCTTCCTCCCCTTTTTATCTTTTATCTACGGATTAACACGTGACCGGGTATTCGTCATTAGTGTCTCGTCTCGTCTCGTAACACAGCCGACACGCGTGAGTGATCACGCGAAGGACACTCAAAACGAGACACGAATCTGCAAATTTTTCCATGCTTTTCCTCTTCCTTTCAGTCAAACTCTTTCGATTTATTATTTATATGTATATATATTATTTTTTTTATTTTTTTAATTAAACGCGTGACACGCGAAACGACGTTTCCATTTAGAATTATATGAATTTTCTTTCTTTTTTCCCTCTCTCTCTCTCTCTCTATATATATATATATATATATATATATATATATATATATATATATATATATATATTAGGAAGGCTGGAAAGTAATGTCGTTTCTGCGCATGTCGATATTGATTGTGATTAAAAATAAAAACTTGTTAAAAATTTTTATTCATTTGAATTTAATTTAAGAAAGCGACATTACTTTCCCTCTACTTACCCCCTAATATGTATATATTGTTTACGAATTCTTCGTAATGTAATGATTACTAAGGATTCGAGTTATGTAACGCGTTTTGTCTTTATTTACGATTGATTTACCTCCATTCGCGAATTATGTACGAATTAGCCTTGAATATATTTCGCTTTAATACACGATTATAATAGTGTTAGATTTTTCCTCTTGAAATAAAGATGATTCATGAAAAACTTGTTCCAGAAAATTTATAAATTAGAAAACAAAACAATTAATAATTACGTGAGAAACTACTGTACTACTGTACAATCGATTGAAATAAAATAAGATAAGAAATTTTAATTATATTAATAAGACTCGAGTTAAAAAAAAATCTCTTTTGCTTTCAATAGTTAATTAATATTATAGAAACAATTGTTGAATTAAAAAATGACATTATTACAGCTCCATGCAGCAGCATTGTCGTCGTTACGTTCCGAAGTCGCCGATCTAAATTCACGACTATTGATAGCTACTCGTGCGAGAGAAGCTGCTGAAGTAGCTTTAGCAAGAGCAGAAGTTCAAGCTGCTAGGGCTGAGCAAAGAGCTGAACAGCAGGCGGCCAGGCACGAGGAGAGACTTACCGAATTGCATTCCGTCATTGCCGAGTTGGGCAGACAGTTGGAGAGGCATCGTGCTACCGTAATTGCCGAGGAGGATGAGTCCGGTAAGAAGGCACATTTAATTCTAATGCTTCTCTCTCTCTCTCTCTCTCTCTCTCTCTCTCTCTCTCTCTCTCTCTCTCTCTCTCTCTCTCTCTCTCTCTCTCTCTCTCTCTCTCTCTCTCTCTCTCTTTGTAATTCTTTTTCACTCCAAGAGGTAAATTATTTGAAGTACTTCGAGCATTCATAGAATGTGGAAATGTAAATATAGATAACGAACTTCACAACAAATTCACGAGCATATATTCATGTTCATTTCTTAGGGTATCTTTTTTTTTCTTTTTTTCTTTTCATACAATATACTATCTGAAGAAGATCTGAAGATTGGGTGCATTCAATTTGTAGAAATCGAAACCAGTAGGGATGCGGAGGGATCGATTACGAATCCGGTGGAGGAGAGCGAGGGAGGTGGAGATATTCAAGGTGATGGAGATAGAACCTTGGGAGATGCCGATTCCAGTTGCTGTGAGGAAATTGAACATCGAACCAACGAGGTAACGGAAGAGGATTCGTTTCCTCTGTGCAAATGGTATTTCAGGAAATTATGTATTTGCCGATGATTGCTATCCTTTAGTCATCTTTCATTGTCTTTGAATTTATTTGAACGGTCTGATTTGTCAAAGTCTATTTGCAAATAAGAAAAATTATGGAATATTTGAGAATTCGTACTTGTAGAACGGTAGGGAACAATTGGACAGTCCTGCTGCTTTACCAACACCAGAACCAACTCAACCAGCGGCTTCGTGTCAAAGTGTCGCCGTGGCTACTCTCCAAGAAGAAGTTACGGCTCTTAGAGCAGAAATCGTGAGCCTCCAAGCACAGTTGGCACAATTTAAGAATCAGGGACAGAATGGCAATCAGGGACAATTAAATGGAGACTCACCTCGACGAGAACATAAAGTAAAATACATATATTGAAATATTGTAAAATCGACGGAGGGGGAGGGAGATTTTTACGTCTTTAATTTTGAATTATAATATAACGCGTGCTAATTAGCTGCCTCAAAGAAATAAAATACTGTCTATAGTGAAAGAGTTTTCAGCTAACTAGATCTCAAGCTTCTTCTTTATCGTATTCACAGACGAGAGGTAACACCAGCTCGCCAGAACCTCTAACGGCACCTTGCTCGCCACTTCTGCCACCCCTTCAAACACCACCGACAAAGAGCGTAACGAGGGAGGAACCGCCAGTCCTCAAGATGGCCGAGAGGGTGAGGCTAAGGAGAACTGATGAGAGACATATCACTGGTCCCGATATTACGAATCTCGGTGTATGAATTCAATTATTTTCTTTCCCCCCATTATATATTTATTCTTTCATTTACTTCCAAGAAGATGGCATACGAATCCAACGTATTACAGGTTTGTTCGACCATGGTTGCTGAACATCTCGTGTCCGATCTTTTAGAACAATCGAATTTGCAAGAATTAAATGGCTCGGAGAAACAGTTTGAGGTAGAAACAGAAAGATTGAATAGTAGATTGGAACATGCTCGAGCGAATAATGCTGTTCTTGCTTTGACTTTACATGAGAGCAAAGCTCAATGTGATAGGTAATTTTAATGGAGATGACGTTTCAATACGAATTTACAAAGATCTACATAAATCACTCTGAGTATCTTCTTCTGTTGAATTTAGATTAAGTCTACTCGTTGGGAAATACGAATCGAATGCAATGGCGTTAAGATTAGCGTTATCTTATAGCGATCGTGCCATAGAGGCCTACGATGTTCTCGTTGCTTTATTAGAAAGCGAGATTGCACTTTCTACCGAACGAAATAGCCTTACTATCGACAATAGAAAAGCAGCTGAGAATGTAGCTTATCATATGTTGAACAGGCTTGAAAATGACTGTGCTAATGTTATGGGTGCACCTTGGGAGGATAGTATAATCTTGTCGGATGAGTACGTACATCAAATTGTCGTAAATCTTCGAATATGAGGATTAGATTATCTTATTGTTTTTATAGATCTGAAGTAACTTGGACTGTCGAAAACGAGGAGAGACTTAGAAGACACCTTAGCAGATTAAAAGGCGATCGTGCTATGGTCAGATCTACTGCCGTGGAATTAGAAAGTGTTCATGTCGAACCTCTTAATTCAAAAAATACTATTTCTCTCGCGGAAGCTAGAAAATTAGATTTAGAGACTGCTGTACTTATGCAAGTTAGTGTAGCAATTATTATACTAATTTATATACTCTATTAAACTATTGAATAATAATGAAAAACGTTGATCGATACCGAACTTATAATATTATTAGGAATTAATGGCTATGAGAGAAGATAAAGCAGAATTGAGAGCAAGAGTATTTCTTTTGGAAAAGGAAAGAGCTACGATAGAACTAAAATTGAATGCGCAGGAAACGCAAATTGCAGCTCAGCATGCTGCTATAGAACATCTTCAAGGACAACTTAATGATACCGAGGCTATGTTATCAATGAATAAAGTAATATATTTTTTACACTTAATAGGTGTCGTTTAATAGAATCAACAAATTTCTAATAGATATTATTTGTAGGATCGTGGTCTTAGTGATAATGAAAGCGAAGGTATTGAGTCTGAACTTATAGAAGCATTAGGTAGAGAAGCAAGATTAAAAGAACGCTTACAAGAATTAGTATCAACATTGGATAAAGTGAATAAGAATTCAGAATTGAGACATCAACAATCTGCAGAACTTGTTAATGATTTGAAAAAAGCTAATAGGTGATATATTTTGTTCCGCCGATTGTAAAAATAATGATTTTATATTGAAATTTAAGTTTATACTCTTATTTCTTCTAGTGCCCTGGTACAAACATTGGAAAAAACAAAGAAAAAATATCAATCTAGATTAAAAAAATTAGAGCAACAAATGTTAGGAATGGTGGAAAGACATACAGCACAGGTATGAATAATAAATATCCTGAAGTAGATATTATATTCGCGTTTTGAACAAAAAAATTTGAAGTTGTAAATCCTCTTGAATTTTTTTCATTTGTGCATGAAATATGTTATAATATTCAATTACAACCAATTATAATAATATGTCACATTATTCAATTACAACCTCAAGATATTTTTGTTTCTTTTTCATCGATTATATAAATCAAAATTGTTTTCTATATTTGCTAAATGTACTTTATTTTCTATTATGCATCGTTCTATAATTCATATATGTGATATTATTATAAATTATATTAATTCCTATTAGCTTTCCATTTTTCTAATTCTTCTTCTACCAGCTTATCTACATTGATGAGAGGTTTGTATATAACGTGGACAGTCTGTGCTCCAGCCAACATAGTTAACATTGATACAATACCAAATTTGATGTATGCCCAATCCATATCTCTTGATATTTAACCGTTAATTGAAATAATATCAGTCTTCTTAGCATATATTAGTACTTAAAATTGTTCTTCTTCCATTTTTCGTATTTTTTCTTCAACCATCTCTTGTACAATTCGTTTTTTATATACTTTATAAAAGTTAACCTGGCCAACTTGCCAATTGATCATAGAAAATTCTAATAGTGCCCCACAAACGAAAAATAATGGTAAGAAACGGTAGACACCAAAAGTTTTCTTACCAGGCCACTTTTGCATAAACTTTCTTAATCTTTTAATAAAAAGTAACATAGATACGTTTTATGCTCAATCAGGTAATACAGAAATTTTCTTTTTGGCGGCCATATTGAATGCTGCGCGCGCCGCCATCTAATTCCTCTAACTATATTTAATGTTTGTAAAATTATTGACACTGCTATATTACGTATTATTTGTGAAATAAATTTTTTATTTTCACATAATTATAACATAAAAGTGATACAATTTTTAACAAATTTTTTATAGGTTAAATCACTGAAACAACGCATAGCTTTGCTAGAGGAAGAAGCAGCAGTATATAAAGGAACTTTACCTCTACAATCGCAAAGCTCAGGAGCTAGTGAAACATCTTTATGACAATTAAGTGACTAAAAATGATATATAAAAATGATATATAAACGTAAACGTAATTTATTAAAATGCGTTTCCTGTCGTCGCGAAACGTGCAAAATAAAGATTAAATTTATGTATTTTTTTACTGGAATAATTTCTTAAGCATGACGCTTTGCTATTCGCTTTGTAATTTTATGAAGGTATGATACACCATTCTCTTGTAGCATACAGAATTTTATGCTGGGAATTGTGACGTGCTATGAATACTTGGACGCGTGCAAGCTATTTGGTATATGATGAATTATAAATATAAATTACTAGTATGTTGTCTCATTCATAGCAATGATATTTACTTGTAAATATGTATATTGTAACCATAAACAGAAGTGATACATATAAACAATAATTAAATAAATTGTGCTTTATTTATACATTAGGATATCTCTCATAATTTACAATGCAAAATTTTACAAAGAAAACAAGTCTTTCTTCTTTATACTTATACTTATGTATTTAAACAAAAGATATTATATTGGTTGATTTTCAGCAAGATTCATTTCCATTGCCATAACGTCCGTAGCACTTTTTCCTGGAACAGCTGGTTCTTCATCTCCTGGTACATGATTTATTTCTATTATTTCTTCTTTGTTCATTATAGTTTTATGTATTTCCTCTTCGATATGTACACATGCCTGTTCAATCTCATAATTCTTTGAAACCAGACCGACCCATTGAGCTTCCAATGCTCTTAACTTTTCTCCTCCTTGCGTTTGCATAGATTTTCTTTGCCAATTAACTTCTTGTATTTTCTTTCTTAAAGTCTGTAATTGCTTTTGTCCTTGACTAACTAATTGAACTAATATTTCTAAGTAAGACCTCCAAGCTTCACAACCATATTCCATCATTAATTCTAAATTACATATCCTATAAATTAAAAATAAAGCTTACATGAAAAGATGTAAAAGATATGATTAATTCTACATTTGTACCGATGTTTCACCTAGTTGCTTGGTGTTCCAATTGTGCACTGCTATTTTCTACGCTCTCATTCCAGGCTGTCAAATCGTTCATTTTACCAGGTGGCGGTGGTGGTAATTCATAACGTTTCATACTGAGAACTTCCATAGGTAAACGATTCTGCATTCTTTCAAACTCATGCTTCATTACATCAGTTTCAAATGCATTAATATTTAAATGAGATAAATGCTCCAAATAATTTTTGGTCGGTCTATATCGTCTCGTCTCTTCTTCAACCATTGCCAAAGCCTGAAATTGAGCGAGTAAAGGATACATCCTCTAAATACCAAATACAAACTTGTTCATATCCATAGTAAAACTGTAAAAAACATAACCTGTACTGCACCAGACATATATACAAGTTTTTTTTATACAAGTTGTTCATAACAAATCACATACCGCTTCTCTGACACCAGGTTCATCATATCCTTGATCTATGTAAGGCAATGCATCGACAATAACTTCTCCAGCCATTTTCTTATAAATATGGATAAAATCTTAATATATTTTTTTTTTATTCAATTAATTTAATCGTATAGTTCGCACTTTTATATACATAAAATCTCATTTCCAAGAATTCTATTTTCCATTAGAAATTTCGTAGAATATAATACGTCGCATTGAAAACTATACCATAAAGTTATTTCTGCTTTCAGTGCATCCTAGCGGAAAAGAAGCTAACGAATATTAAGCAAATTTACAATGCTACAATTGGAAGCGTCGTCAAGTTCATCGACTGAGCATGCGCAACTCAAGTCGTACCGTTTCCGCTTGCATCCTTCTTCCTTTATGACCAGGTAAGGCGTACAAGCTGCCTGGTTAGCGTATGTCTCATGCGTGAAAAGTTGTGAAAAAAACGCGAGATGGTAAGAAATTTACATTCTTATTGCTAATGCAGAATTACGAATGTCGTTTTGATCATTATTGATAATTATTATATCTTCTATGTACGAAACTTTTTCGTTAAACTTTAAATTGTGTTGTAGACCACGTGTAATTTGTGTACTTGTGTAGGATAAGTTTTTTTTTTTTTTTTTTTTTTTTAATCAATTTTATTATTTTCCTTCTCATGGTTTCTCACATAGATCTTCGATCGTTTTTTAAAATTCAATTATAATATATTGCGAGAATAACGTATAAGAAAAGGTGAAAGTATTTAATATAGTCAATACTTATTTCTCCGGCCGCCATGTGCATGTCAGAACGCATTTTGTCTCCAATATTTCGCCATTAATGTTTTCTAGTATATCGTTATGATTATTAAGAAACAACTTGTTCAACGTTTGTTTAACGTTTCTTTGTTGTTGTTATTCTAGTCGTTATCAACGGCGCGACCTTTGGTTACTGTATATAGTGATAAAAATGAACCATCAGAAGATACAATCTCTTTGCCATCGGTGTTCAAAGCTCCGATTCGTCCTGATATTGTAAATTTTGTTCATCAACAAGTTTCAAAGAATAGTAGACAACCCTACTGTGTGTCCAAGGAGGCTGGTAAATATATTTTCTAAAATAGTCTACCTAACCTAAATATCCTTAAAATATTTCAAGTTTTAGAATGGATTAGGATATGGTTAGTTCAACTATGTAAATATAGATTTTATTTAATAGGTCATCAAACCTCTGCCGAGTCATGGGGAACAGGACGTGCAGTAGCACGTATTCCTCGTGTTCGTGGTGGCGGTACCCATCGTTCTGGTCAGGGTGCATTTGGTAACATGTGTAGAGGTGGACGCATGTTTGCTCCGACTAAACCATGGAGAAGGTGGCACCGTCGTGTTAATGTTAATCAGAAAAGATACGCTCTTGTTTCTGCAATTGCTGCTTCTGGTGTTCCTGCTTTAGTACAATCCAAGGGTAAGGTTATATATTCCAGGTTATTCAGAATCAATACATATATATATCTATGATGATTTAGCTTTGGTCCGTGTTTCTGATAGACTGATTATACATAAGCTTTTGTACTGAGAGTGTAGTAAATTATTACTTATATTTATTAGACTTTTTTATTAAAATAACTTAAAGCAGATCATATGAAATATGTCTACAGGACACATGGTTCAAGAAGTGCCGGAATTCCCTCTTGTAGTTTCTGATAAAATTCAGGAATACAATAAGACTAAACAAGCTGTTATTTTCTTGAGACGTATTAAAGCTTGGAATGATATCCAAAAGGTAATTGAAAGCATTCTTAATTGTACTTGTATAGGCACTATAGAATGTCCACATCTTTACTAAATCTGTTAGTTCTGATGTTCCTAATCATGTGCTAGAATAATATAGTTGTCACAGGCGTTCTAAGCTAGTACCTTTTTATACTAGGTTAGGGTATGCACAACTGCACACATTTATTTTATTAAAAATGTTCATTATTAGATTTTACAACTAATAATATAGAGAGCGTTATTTAATATTCCTTCTTTCTTTTTTTTAGGTTTACAAGTCTCAAAGATTCCGTGCTGGTAAAGGTAAAATGCGTAATCGTCGTCGCATTCAACGTCGTGGACCTTTGATTGTGTATGGACAAGATCAGGTGTGTAATTATTTAATAAAAAAAAAAAAAAATAAATAAGAAAAGATAAAATATCTAAAATTTTACTATATTTTAAATTAAATATTTACTTTTAGGGTATTCGTAAGGCATTCCGCAACATTCCTGGTGTGGATCTTATGAACATCAATAAGATGAATCTCCTGAAGCTGGCACCTGGTGGTCATGTTGGTCGTTTTGTTATTTGGACGAAATCTGCTTTCGATCAACTAGATGCTCTGTATGGAACTTGGCGCAAACAATCTAAGCTTAAAGCAGATTACAACTTACCCTTCCCTAAGATGGCCAATACAGATTTGTCTAGACTTTTGAAGTCAGATGAAATTAGAAGAGTTCTAAGAGCTCCAAGGTAATATTTTTAATACAAGGAGATATATATATATATATATAAATTAATATTAAATTATTAATTCTTTTTTAAATATTTATATGATGATTTTAAGGTCCGTGTTGTTGACTGACAGTGATTATAATTTTTAACCATTACTGATAGAATTGAAGGAAAACTAACTTCATTCTTTTTGGCAATTTCTAAATAATATGTAAATTGTATAATATTCAAATTACAGAAAGAAGATAGTACGCAGGGTGAAGAAACTGAACCCATTGAACAATACACGTGCAATGTTGCGTCTGAATCCATATGCTGCAGTATTGAAACGTGCAGCAATTTTAACAGCACAGAGACGACAATATGAGAAAGATTTGCTCTTGGCTGAAAAACGAGGAGTAAGTATAATAATAATAATATCAATTGATACTTTAACACCATTGTACGAAAGATTGAAGTACATATATGAAAATATTTTATTCCATTTAGATCGAACTTCCTAAGAACGCACCAGCACTCAAAGCTAAAAGGCTTAAAGAAAGAAGAACCAAGCAAATTCTGGCGGTTAAAACGATTAAAGCAAAGAAACCTAAAGCTCCGAAGAAAGCAGCCTCAGCACCAGCTAAAGCTGCAAAACCAGAGCCGACGAAAACGTTGGATGCGCAGGCAACAAAAGCTAAGAGCCCGCCAGCCAAATAAAAATGATTAAGGAGTTTTTGTCGTTAATCCAAGATTTTTATTTCAATATAAATAAAATGTGGAAAGAGACACAACAACAAAATTTATATTTCGATCATCGTTAAAATATTTTATATATATATATACATATATATATATATATGTGTATATATATAAAAGATATTTTTTGTTGTATGTCGATACAAAATTTAAAAATTTCCTACAAGTGGTACTCTCATAAAAATGGTATTATCATCGAATACTTCAATAGATGCAACTTTTGCGTTTGCTTCCGTTGGAATGAAAAAGTTAATATTTCTAACGTGACGTCGACCACCCAATTCTTGTAATTTAATATTCAAAACATTTTCCGTTGCTAGAGCAGCAGTACTTACTTTAAATCCTTCAATCTTTATTTCTGCCTGCATTATATTTAATTTCTTACAATTTATATATTTTTTTTTACACCATATATATACATGCAGATAACACGTGACAAGAATAGAAAGATCGCGTACTCAAGGTAATTTATAGGATATCGAAAGCAAATGGTATATTACTTACAGCAAAATATTCTTTGCTATTTATAGTATAAAAATCCGGGATTTGACTCAATTTCAATCGTGTTTTGAATCCGCTCGATATCATTTTAAGATCTATATAATCATATCGTCTTAACAGTATGGCGTTGTCCAAACAATGCTGTGGCAAATTTTCCATACTCAATAATGAATAATTATCACAGGAAACTGCGGCATTAAGTTATAGATGAACTTAATTTGGCATTTGCAGGTAATGTTTTAGAAATAGGTTTATCGATTAGATAAATTCTTTTGTTTCGATTAGCTGTTTGTCAAGTTTATATATATATATATATATATGTGTAATATAAAAAGAATAATATATATATATAATATATATATATAAAGAAAAAAAAAATAAATTTTTAAAAGATAAATACGATTAATTAGGATATATCTATGAAAATTATTTAAAATAATTTATTACGCCTAAACTTATACCTGGCATCATGGATGACAACTTATTTTGATTTATCACATTTTTAATCTTTTGCTTGGTTTAATAGTAGGGGCAGTTAGAATGAGCATCCTATGTTTATTGTCAACGACAGCACGAACTTCGTCGCTGTCGATGGTCTCTGGAATAAGTAAATTTTCTCGGTGTTTCAGGATTTGTTTAGACAAATCATTAAATGGCGATTTTTGTATCATATCCGAAAACTCTTTATTTAAATGTCGTTGAACGCTCACACGAAGATTATTGCCCTTAACAGTTATTTTCGTAGATGACATATCGATTTCCGGTGCTAGTAACATCTTCGCCTTGATAAATAACAAAGATATGATAATTAATGAATTATTTAAAATTCTAACCTATAATTAACGTACTATTAATATATATTATTGATCGATCGAGGGGATTTCTCTTGAGGGAGGATTAAAAAAAAAGAAAAAAGAATGGTTGATTAATTTTTTACTTTTTAAGGTCACTGCTTCACATAAAAAAAAAGATTAGGTGAGCTTCAACCTTTCGACGGTTTCATGACCCTTTTTTAATAACACGTATTATAAAAGAAAAAAAAACCCGTGTATAAAATGATCTATCGATTGCGAGCATGACGTGTATATTAGAAATGAACGAATTTTCCTCACGTCTTATATTTTCAAATATTTCTAGTCGAAAATATTTTTTTTTTTTTTTCTTTTTCTTTTCGTACAAACCTCATAGAAATTGTCAGGCCGAATACCTATGGAAACTATTTGCACAATATAACTGTTATCCAATGATTTCGCTGATGATACTTTTGTAGAATCTGCTATTCTCTTTTCGTTAAATTTTGGACAGTAAATGCTACCTGTCTCATGATCGCCATGACATTTTGTACATCGCTCGTTCGTCGTACTCATTTTTCAACTTATTCACAAATAATTTGTATTATTTGATTATTAAGATATTTGTTTTAAATCTCTCATCGAGAATCATAATCGAGAAAGAAGAAGTATATACATATAGAAAGAGAGAGAGAGGAAGAGAGAAATAAGTAAATAATGCTTTAAGGTTATAAAATTTTGAGAAATATCAAAAAAAAGATATAATATGACACATCGATTTAGAATTTGAAATATTAAAAATTTAATTAACGTGTTACTTATTTGTATGAAAATCTATATATAAATAACAAAAGGTAATCATATGGATGAAACAAACGATAATCGATCGGAATTTATGATGCATGTGATGCAACTTCGATCGTATTGGTCAGAATTCAGGTAGGGAATTATCCTCCATTGAATCAATTAATTCGTTGGATAATATTTCACATGAAAAATTTGCTTTTCTCGAAAAATTTTTTGAAAAACAAAATTGACGATTTGTTTTCAAAAAAAAAAAAAAAAAAAAAAAACGTTTTGGATTTGCATTGTTGAGAATTTAATTCGTGATCCGATTACGAAATAAAATTCAACAGAAGATGTATATATTTCTTTTTCTTCTCATATTTTCTTTTCGCCTCGATGCTTCGAATTGTATATTCGAGATTTAAACATTTATGAGCCTTCTCAAATAATTCCAAACGAGAAAGAAAGCTTTATTTCCACGTATGTTCATGCATATATGTACGTCGCGTATTAACGCTGGACTAAAGCGTACACGCATATTCGTTCGTATTCTTTTTTCTTTTATTCATTTTTACCAGAAAATCTGTTAAAGAAATTTTTTTCCTTTTTCTTTTTTTCTTTTTCTTTTTTTTTGAATATTTTTTCGAAAAGCCATAAAAAATAAGTACGATTTAGCACATAATTTCATAAAGCAAAATCTATTAATATTATAACCTAATTGCATTTTCACATCTATTTAACATTTCGATATTCCATTTCGATTCAATTCGATCATGAATAATTTTGATAATCGTAATTAGCCAATCCGACGTTTTGATCGATCGTAAATCTCATCACGGCGTTCGCTGTTACAATGACGATTATATATCCCATTCTTTTTTTGCTAATTACATAGAGAAATTACAGATAATATTAATCGCGAACAAATTATTCAATATAAATGTATGTGTTTCGTGAGAAAATTGTAATGGTAAATTGCTTTTCTCTCACTCTCTCTCTCTTTCTCTCTCTCTCTCTCTTTCTTTCTCTTTCTCTCTCTCTCTCTCTCTCTCTATTTCTCTCTCTCTCTCTCTCTCTTTCTCTCTCTCTCTTATATAAATGATTATTTTTTTTATCTGATTTCTTTGATTTCTCTCCTCTCTCTCTTTTATATAAATGATTATTTTCTTTAATCTGATTTCTTTTTTTAATCTGATTCCTCCCTCTCTTTGATATAATTTTTTTCCAATTTTTTTTTCTTTCATCTCTCTTCCTTTCTCTCTCTCCCTTTCTCTCTCTCTCTCTCTCTCTCTCTCTCTCTCTATCTATTTATCTATCTATCTATCTATCTCCATTCGTCTCACTCTGTTCTTTCTTTCCTAGGACACATCGTTCGACGTTCGTATCTGTATTGTTATGAAACGCCTGCGCGAGTTTCCTTTTGAAAGAAACGACGACGGTAGGGGTAACGCGGGATTCAGGGACGAAATTGCACCGTGGTTTTCAACTACCGGATATCAGTGAAAGACGAGCGGTCTCGCGGTTAAGTCGTCCTTCAACTCCATGTCGCCTTCTCTTGGCCTCTTCCTTCGGTACGGAATTTTGGCGGTTATTTTTAAGAATGGTGAGTGGTCACATACTTTTTTCTATCATCGAAAGACACGATATCCTTTTCTATTTCTTTCCCTCCCCACCTTTCTTTTTCGTCTCTTTTTTTTCTTTTTCTTCCTTTTTCTAGTGTTCCACCCAAAAAACGTCGTTTTTTTTTTTTCTTTCTTTATCCATCTATAAAGAATCTTTTGTTCTTGCTTCGATCGAATATTTGTATGTTAAGAAAATTTTATAATATTCAATTATAATGATAATAAAATCAAAATCGTTTTTCATCATGAATCGAATAAAAAAATTATAACAATAGAGAAAGTCGTTCGTTCGTCTATCTATCCGTTCGTCTGGTTTAATTTAACTTTTTAATTTAAGTTATAACGTATACAAGTTGGAAACGATGCACGTCGCTTCGAAATATCAGCTAATTTACCGACCGACCGACTCTACCACTTCGAATTTTTTCACAAATATGGACTTTTCGATCGACGGGGGGGGTCAAGGATTTTCCTTGAATTATTTTCCATGAAGAATTCCTTTTTTTTTCTCACTCGACTCTATTTTTTTCTCGTTTTCATCGAAACGTATGATGTCGGTGGATACTGATAGTAGTGGATTTGGTAAGGCAACTCGTTTACGTATTCAAAAATTTCTGAGTAGATTTTAACTATAATCTATCTCGATCATCTATCTTCGCGTTCGATCGAAACTCTTTCAGTCTGATTAAAATTCAATTAGGAATACGATTTATGGGTGCTCGATAATTTCTAAATGATTTTTTTTTTCTTTTTTCTTTTTTTTTTTCCATATTCAGTTATTATATACGCCTATCTGTTCAATCACCTTTTCCTTCATTATTACGGAGGAGTATCAATCATGATGTTATAGTAACAGTACAATATATCTTATATTTTTATAATAAATTAGTTTATTCTCTTTAATTTTTTTATCGTATACCATTTATTAACGCATTGTTAAAGTATGCTTGCACATTTGACTACGACTGACGTATGATTAAAATATAAATGTGTGTAAGATTTGTTATTGTAAATAATTTTTTTATTGATTGGATATATATATATATATATATATATATATATATAATGTCCGCTTAAATTTTTATATTACTAATATTTTTCAGAATCTTTTCTTCAAGAATATTTTATTAATGATTTTATTAACAATAATTTAATTATTAATATAGCCGATGAAATTCATTAATTTTCTCAAATATGTATTGCTTTTCACAATATGTAATAATTCATATTGATATCACATTCGAAGTAAATTATTATTTCTTTTTGATTTCATGCCTGTAACGTATCAAACGAGTGACATCGTTTTATACATACATATATATATATATACATATATATATGTATATATTTATACATATATATATATACATGTATATATATATATATATATATATATATATATATAATATATATGTAGAATATAAAAGATAAAATGGTATGAGCTGATAGTGAAATTCTTCCTCTCATATTCAAGCTTACATTTTCAACGTTATCTTTTATGCGTATCATTAAAAGTATATATTGGATAAAAAATTTTTTTGGATAATGAGATCGTCTAATTTAAATGCAAATTTGACAAATGAACAGTAAATGGTACTAATTTAGTGTCGTAAATGTATATTTACGTATTGGAGAAGAAGAATAAAAAAGAAGAAAAAAAAATTGGAGAAAAAATATATTTTTCTATCTTTGAATGAACCGAAACGAAATGTTCGATTCAATGAAATTTCTACTAATCGTACTCTGTCATTGGCTTTCATTCGAAACCTTTTTTCTCTCTCTCTCTCTTTCTCTCTTTCTCCCTCTCTCTCTTTCTCTCTTTCTCTCTTTCTCTCTTTCTCTTTTGTTCTTTTTTTTTCAAGAGCACTCATTTGCTCTTTTCGACGAAACTCCGACTTTTTTCGATCTCACAATAAAAAGCGTAAACTGTATTTTAAAAAATAGCATTTCGAGTAATCGTAAAAAAGTGAGAACGAAATAAAATACGTATTTTCGTTGTTCTCTAATAAACAGAAACAAAAAAAAGAAGAAGTTGATGGAGTAGGATGGATCGATTGTTTTCATATTAGTACATTTCTTGCAATAACTCGTATTGTTTGTAATTTGGAAAACGGCGCGTTTACGCACGAAATCACGTGTTACCGTCATCACTTTCGTTTTAAGCGGGATATTTAAATCTTCGTACATGTATCTATCATATAGTTTTTCTTTGTTTATATATATATATATATATATATATATATATATACATATATGCAATTATAATAATTATACTCTCTTTCTATATAATAACTCTATATATATATATATATAGTGTATTTACATACATACAGAGTATAATTGTTATAATTTTAACGACTTTGAAAAATGAAATTACAATTTTTTCTAAAACTAAATTGTTCATCAAGCCTTTACGAATATCGGGAACTATTTTGTATAACTAGATCGATTAAGACAAGTTCGATCTCCGATTAAAGCTCATTTCAACTAACCGTCCGTTAATTCGATCGTTCAACTCGACAGGATTTCCTGCAAGAATATTATCGCATTCGATCGAGTTGTAAATGAGTTTCGTGTTCCACAAATTTCTCTGGCCTATCTTCATTCCTCTCTTTACTTGTCCTCTCTCTCCTTCCTACCCCTTCATTCTCTCCGTCTCTCTCTTTCTCCTTCAAATAGTCGAAGAATTTTCGTTCGAATCGCGACGCTTTCATTTATTCGATTTCCTTTTCCATCGATTTTCTATTTATCGAATAGAATCGATAGAATCGTTTGTGGCGAAACAATAAGCGTTTATCTGTATATATATATATATATATATGTATGTATGTATGTATGTGTGTATATATGTACGTATTGATCGTTTGAAATTTATGCGCGAAATTAGAATAATTTAGTCCGCGGCTTGTCATACGCTGTCATCTTGAATAATTTTTATTCTCTTTACCATAATTTTTTTTGCGCGAATTATTTAACCGGAATAAAAAAAGAGCGATCGTTTGGTAAAATTGATTAGAATAAAATTTTTTTTGAGGATTTTTTTTTTGTTTTTTTATCTCATTATCCTCACAAAATGTTCTACTCAATTTTTTACTCTCTTTTACTCGCTTGCTCTCTCTATTTTTCCCCAATCTGCCATTATTACGCATGAAGTATTATGGAAAGGCTCTCGTATTCTGTATATAATAATAATAATAATAATAATAATAATAATAATAATAATAATAATAATAATAATAATAATAATAATAATAATAATAATAATAATAATAATAATAATAATAATAATGATAATGATAATGATAATAATAATAATAAATAAATGAAAACATTGATATCAGAGAGACCATTACTATGAAAATAATGATAATAATAACAATAAACTATCGTCTTAATAATCGTCATAAATTTAATGTTTTTATTTGCAATGACTTTGTAGGGAACATTTCTTATCAGATTTCTCTTATTAGTTTGGCTATCAGATATCTTGGTAATTAGAGATAATATCTATGAGAGAGTCATAATCTTTAATCTTTTTGAAAATTAACAGGAGAAGAATATGAAGGGAAATAATATATATATATATATATATATATATATATATATATATATTTCGTGTGTGTTTCATATATACATGTATACACCTATATGTGTTTCTCGAAATGCAATTTGTCGCGTGAATCGATGCGAGAAACATCTATCACATTTCGAAGGATGATGTTCCCTTCGGCTGTGTTCGTCATTTTTTGAAACGATACTTCTCTGTCGGATCTTCGATATCATGTCAGAGATATACATGTACATATATGTATGTATGTACATATGTATATATCTTATCAATCTGAATAATTCGAATGATCAACTCGCGAAAATCTATCAGATTTTATTACATTAGAAACAAATACTTTTGATTTGTTTATTACTTAACACAAATTGTTGGCCAGATATTATACGGAAAATTTAACGTGTTTCATCGAATGATTATTTCATTATTGAATTCAATTAAGAATCATTATTAAAATATTGGAAAATTTGGATATTATTGAAATTTTTCTTATCATTTTTCATTTTATTTATTTTTCGTTTCTTTTTTTTTTTTGTTTTTATCATTGAAATTTTATAAGAATATTCAGGATGATAATCGCACAAGCGATTTAATCTCATTTTTCATTGTCTTTCATAACTTCATAAATTTTTTTTCTTCTTCTTCTTATTATTATCATTGAACCAATAATAATATTCACGGCGATAAGGACACAATGTTTTAACTAATTAATATTTGGTAAAAGTTTTCTATGTAAAAAGGGAGGGATAATTATCGGAAGATATGAAAATTATATTCTGCTAATCACAGTTGGATAAGAAATCATAGATTTCGACGATATAATTATAATTAGCTTGTAATTACAATAGGTAGGAAAAATGAAGGGAAGATGTGTCATTTGTACGGATTGGTCTCCTTCGTTCTCGTCGACGCTTTTTATTTTCTCTTTGTGCTCTCGATAAACGTGAAGAGTCAAGAGTTACGGAGGATTAGATAACGTACGAATTGGATTTTTGGACACAATAGACGTAACTATCGTCTATACGATTCTATCGATGTAACTATCGAAGATTAGGTGAAGTAGTTCGTGTAGGAAAGAGTGTCGTGTTAAATTAACTTAAAATCTTTAGCTTTGACGAATTGGTTAAAATATTACATATAGGGAAGTTCGTTAAATCGTAAAGAATTTGACCAAAATTTTGTTGACATAAAAATTTTCGACTTATATTTATTCCCGCTTTATTATATCTTCAGTTTATACAATCTTACAATAATGTATATAAATAAAAGTATACTGTCAATCTGAAAATTATTTTAATAATTATAAAAGATCTCAAAGTCTGAAAGACTTTAATGTAATGTAAGTTAATTATACGCGTAACGTAATACATTTTTTGGTATTACTCTTTCAGGTTTCTGTGATGAACACGAATACAGATTGACAAAATACTTGTTGGAGGGATACGATGCAGCTGTGAGACCAGCAAAAAATTCCTCTCAACCTTTGGCCGTTATCTTTGGTCTTTCTCTTCATCATATAATCGATGTGGTGAGTGATAGACCATAAAAATTCTTTGAACAATGAATAATCTATATAGTGTACGTATAAAACGTTGAGAGTGCATTTGGGTATGGTATTACTACCTACGCCATTGATACATATAAATTATAATAAAAAGTATCGATGATCCTATTGTTATCATTATTTAAAATCGATCATTTCAAATGACAGGATGAAAAAAATCAAATACTAACCACTAATTGTTGGGTAACACAAATTTGGACCGATCATCATTTGAAATGGAACGCCTCGGAATTCGCAGGAATTCGAGTAATTCGTGTTCCATACAATCGCGTTTGGAGACCTGATATTATACTCTATAACAAGTAAGCGGGTGTTCAGATTTTTTTTTATTCGCGTTAATTATATCCCAATGTAATATATATCTATTATCTCTATTACAATAGAAAATATATATATACTAATCGAATTATAATAAGAAGAATGATCGAACATGGCGATTCAAGGATTCGTTAAATATTTTTGTACAGCGCAGATCCACAGTACAGTTCAGCGATTATAAATACAAACGTAATCGTCAGTCACACGGGCGAAGTAGTATGGCTTAGTCATGGTATTTTTCGTAGCAGCTGTGACATAGATGTTGAATTTTTTCCCTTCGATGAGCAAAGGTGTGCCTTGAAATGGGCATCTTGGACTTACGACGGATATCAGGTATATCATGTATATTAGTATGTAAATCGATGATTGTGAAAGTAGTTTAAGTCAAAAATTATACAAAAAAAAAAGAAAGAAAACAATTATATGGACTATAAAATAAATTAAATTTTTCTTTTCTTTTATTTATTTATTTTTTTTTAACTTTTGACTCAGACCACTTTTATAATCACTGCTCATATATTTTCAACAATTCTTTTCATTAAAAATAAAAAAATAAAAGAAAAAGAGGAAAAGAAAAAAAAAATTATATATATATATATAGGGTAGCTAATTTTAATCCGTATAAAACAGATCTTATTTGTTTCCTTTTGAAAAAAAGAATTTAAATTACGATTTAATAAGAAAATATTGGGAATATTTCATTCGTGAATTTTTGAGATATTTAACAATTTATTGTTCGACATAGAAAAAGAAAAAGAATAGAAACAAGAAAAGAGAAAAGAAAAAATCCTCACGTAGCGCAGTCCCTGCGGATTTTTCCAGATAATTAACTCCAACCGGGCATGGAAAAAAAAGCTTGCTAACGGGCGTTAATATTCAAGATGTTGTATCTAAAATCCAACGTTATGCTCTTCGACAATTCTACGATCCACAAAGTTTTATGTCGGCTAATGAATAAATAAATTTTTCTATACTATTTTTAAGGTCTCCATTGGTTAACGTACATACATATATTCCATTTGTTTTTATCTTACCCTCGAGCGAACAAAATTTTGTTGGTTTAAAATTATATTTTCAAACTCTCAATTCAGTTTAGCAAACAATTTTCCAAAGGAAAATCAACATAGTCGTTCTGAACTTACATCGTCAGAGAGTTATGGTTTAATTTAACAGTATATAGGTAGTAACTTTTCTATCAGCTAGTCAACCAAAACACTTTTACAGGTTTTACACACAGGGGCAGATCCCCCCACCTCATTAAGAGATTACAAAATACATTTGATACGAATTATTTACTATTAGTCATTAATTGTATGATACAAATTGCCTTGTAGAAAGAAAGAAAAAAAAAAAAGAAAGAAACATTTCACTTGATCGACAAAAATTAATCATTTTAAAGATACTTAATCGAATGAAATATCCATTTGTTGATTTCTTTTATACTGAAGTATATCTTAAAACAGATTAAAAAACATGAGTATCCCCATTCGTGACGTGTATAGTTCGTGTTAACTATGGACAAGAGCGTCTGGACGATCGGTTGAATCATTTTAGAGAAGCAAATCGAAAATGTTAGTTCGCCACGTCGTCGAAAAGGGAACGGGCAGATCGAAGGGCTTAATCCTGTATGGAAGAAGAATTCAATGCAAGCCCAGATTCACTCTCTCAATTGGTGAGCCCTCTCTTTCCTCTTCTCTCTCTCTCTCTCTTTCTCTCCTTTTCCTTTACCTATCACCCCCTTCTCCTGTTCCTTCTTCTTCTTCTTTTTCTTTCCTTTCCTTTCCTTTCCTACTTTTCAATCTTCTTCGGTTGAAGCCATTTTTCACGACGCATAACTCTCTCTCTCTCTCTCTCTCTCTCTCTCTCTCTCTCTCTCTCTCTCTCTCTCTCTCTCTCTCTCTCTCTCTCTCTCTCTGTCTCCCTCCCTCTTCTGCCCTTTTAACGGCGAAGTGTGATCGAATTAATAATTAGATTTAAATGAAAGAAAAAAAAAAGAAGAAAGAGGAAAAAAGACCAAAAAAGTGAACTCGAGGATATAACTGATGTAAGTTTTAATCTTTTTTCCTTCTTCTTCTTCTTTTTAACTTTTTGTTTTTTTTTCTTCGTGTATTTTGTTTCAGCTTGAACTTGAAAAACAGAGCGAACAAGGCGACGTAACTAATTACAAAGCAAACGGTGAATTCGATCTCGTCGATTTTTCTGCCAGACGAAATATCGAGTATTACTCCTGTTGTCCAGAACCTTACCCGGATATCACTTATGAGATCCGTTTACGACGGCGATCAATGTTTTACGTCTTCAATCTCATACTTCCTTGCATACTTATCAACGGTATCGGTGAGTTATACAGTAATATATCCTTTTTTCTATTATATTCTAAAGCCTTCTGTAAAAGCTAACTTTTTTTTCAACGTCCCTTTTTTCTCAACGACTTTTTTTTTCTTTTCCTTCTGTCGCATCTTTGTAATTTCAAATATTCTAGACAAACTAAATCATTTGTATATGTGTGCATGTCTATGGGGATGTGTGTGCATTCTATTCGACTTTTTTTAATTAAACGAGAAACGTTTAGGAAACGATGAATAAAAAAAAAAAAAAAAAAAAATAGAACAAAGAGAAAAGAAAAAAAAAAAGAATGAAAGAATAATTTTATCTTTATTTCTTTTTCTCATAAAAGATTTTATCTCTAGAGTTAGAAAACGACGATCCGTTTAAAACCTTTCATTCGATATTCCACAGTTAAAATTTCACGAGGGCAAAAGTTTTTATCAGTGGGCCTTATATTTGTGCAGCTCTACTGGTATTCTATGTACCTTCGGAATCTGGAGAAAAAGTTACTCTTGGAATCTCGGCTCTTCTTTCGATGACTGTCTTCCTCATGACAATACGCGAGACTCTTCCACCGACGGAAAAGACGCCTTTGATAAGTTAGTATTTTTTCTTTTTTTGTTTTTTTTTTCTAAATCTAAATTTTAGATACGAATAGTAATTCAAGAAAATTTCAATGTTTCTAACGTTTCAATCATCAATTTTGAAACATTATATATATATATATATATATATATATATATATATATAATATATGTATACAGTATTGTATAAAGTAATTTAAAATTGTGTATATGAAATAATCTAGAAGCCAATCAAGATCATTCTCAATAATATGATTACTGAGAATCCCTGCGTCTAACAGTGACGTTTCAAATACGTTGGCGTGGAACTTGAAGAAACTGGGCCGACGTTTATATTGGAACAATAAATAGTGACAATTCTATCGATACCCTGCAACTCTGTTTCTATTTAACTTCAAAGAAAAAAAAAAAAAAAAAAGAAAAAAAGAAAGAAAAATCGAAGTAAAAAAAATAGAGTTTTATCATGTTTTTTTTCTCTTGAAAATATAGTCCTTTTCTCGTTTCGGTAGGATTTATCATTGGGTTTGCGAAATATTTTTTTTTTGTTATCATTAATTTAAATTTTATATATATATGTATATAATTTATACACATATACATGTATGTACATATGTTTAATGATGCCATTATGCATTTTGCTTTTCGCATTTAGGTCTCTATTATGGAGTAAGCATTTGTCTCGTGTCGTTCGCGTCAGGATTAGCGGTATTGACTTTGAATTTACATCATCGTGGCACGAGAGTACCCGAAGTTGTGAGATCGTTATTTCTACACAAGTTGGCAAGAATAGTGTTTCTTAATTTTCAAGAAGAGAATAAGCCGGTAATGTGACAAAATTTTTATCGAATATAATATATTAAAATACTGTTATTGCGAGTAACACAAAAATTTTTAATGTAAAAAAAAAAAATTAAGAATAATAAAAAAGAAACATTTTCATCGGATTTAAAAATTCGTCACAATTATATCAGGGATCCGCAGAATCGATGAGAAAGGTAAACAGTTGTCCATTACATTCTAAAACTGATTTACCTCAGCAACAAATGACGTCACCTAAGCACGTTAAGAGAAAGCAGGATGGTGACAGTATCAGTCCTAATCTTGGTAAGTTCTTTCGTTTCATTTTTTTCTTTTTTATATCTTGTCAGATATTCTCTAATCGTGTTATCATGTTTAATGAATTTTAGATTTTGGAAAAGATAATAATTTGGAAACTCAATGGACTCGCATTTTGGGAAGAGTGCATGCAACTATTGAGAGAAACGAGAGGCGTTTAGCCGAACAAGATAAAAGAGAAAGAACGGAATTAGAATGGAAACAAATTGCTCTTGTTAGCGATCGTATATTGTTAGGTATTTTTTTTCTTATGACTATTGTTAGCACAGCTGTTATCCTATACGGTTCACCTCCTACTACGGAGAGCAAAAACGATGGCTAATCATAAAAATTATTTAAAATTTTATTAAAGTCAATTTTGTATAAAACGTCAAATTACAATTGTTCAGTGTATTGATTATATTTAATCGTACAATATATGAAAAATACTAAAGTATTAGAGTGACAGTAATTAGAGAAGAAAAGAAGACTTTGGAACTTGTTGTATAGTTCGATTGTGGTTTCTTTTTTTTCGTGCGGCTAATATTAAGAGCATGTTTGGCTATACTTTTTTACACTGTGGAATTTAATAATCATAAGTTTACTTGTTAAAGACAGACGTCATTGTAAATATTATATCGAGTATTATATACGAACATCTATCTCAGCTGCTATAATTCAATTGATAATTCAGTAAGTAATAAATAATAAGGTATAATTGCTATTTTATTAAATTTCAAGTAATGCCTGTTTATAATATTTACTTTTTTACAATTAATCTGAATTCTTATAAAAAATATAGAGTATTAAAGTTAAAAAATATTAAGCCAAAAAAAGTTTCTTTTAATGGTATAATGTTATATAGAAGTGTTACAAATTACATAGTAATAAATATCTTCAAATAGTATATATAAAAGATTTATAATCCAAAAATTTATATACTTAATAGTAGTCAGGTACTGGTGCACAGGCAATCTTTACAAAATCTTCATATTTGACATTACCATTGATGGATACATTGGCCTCTCGAAAGATTTGCTCAACTTTAATACAAATACGTATAAAGTTTTTTGTACGTATTATAAATTTTCTTAGAACATTTTCTCTTACAATTACTTACCTTCTTTGTTACTTAATTTTTCTCCCCAGTGAAGAAGCATGTGAGCCAATTGTCGTGCAGGTATAGTACCGGTATGAGCAGTATCTGCAGCTTGAAAAGCTTCTATAACTTCTTTTGGAAGATCTTCCGCTCTTGTTTGCAAATGCATGGCTTCCAGAAAATCAGCGAATGACATTTTTCCACCTAAGGTATATAAAAGCAAAACTTTTAATACTTTATTACATAATTTATTAAACTAACATAAAAGTCTTTATGATTGCAAAAAAAGAACAACAATTGGTATAGCCAACCTTTATCTTTAAGATATTTATTTAATTCTGCAATCGTTGGACTGAGACCTAACGACCTCATAATGATGGTCAATTCATCTAAGGTACGAATCTGACCATTGCGAGCAAATAGGTAAAAACATTCCCTGAATTCTGTAATGGAACAAATCTGGATCGTTAAATAAGTGTTTAATAATGTACATATATGTAAAGATGTAAGTAAAAAAAAAAATATATATATATATGTATAAATAGCATATTTTAATATATAATAAATAATATCAAAATATAATGTACACAAAGGAATATACCATCAATATCTTCTTCTCGAAAGTAACGAGCCTACAATAAAAAATGTCAAAAGAGTAGATGTACATTTCGATGAATTTTTTTTTTAATTATAATATAAAAATTATTTAAGTAATTACCATAATAAATTCTTTTTGAATTGCCACAGATATCTACAGACACCTGTCAAGCGTGTGACGTCAACGAATATCGACATCACAATACGACATAACCTAAAAACTTTCGAATAATATTTTAACGTATTAACAATAATATATATTTTATTTCTGTTGAATTAGATGAGAGCGAAGATAAAATCTAATGAAATTATATTTTATTTTACTTTCACAATAGGTATTATATTTGGCGGTAAAATTTGTAATATTGATATTTAGAATATAAATTCTCTCCAGATTGCAGCCAATCATAACAGGGAATATTTTTCAATTGGCCAATGAAATGCCTGGAAGGAACGAATCCCCTTTTCGTATTAACGAAGAAATATCAACAAATAGTTTCAACGACGTTGGCAGTAAGAATTATGTTTTGTTCATTTATATTTTATGTTTGGCTACATTGTATCACTGTTTTATACGTTAGTTTCAATTCGTTAACGGTTTTTTGATAGGTCACATAAGTAGTCCATCGATATATTTCACTTTTCGTATTTTATTTCTACTCACAATATATCATATATTTATTAGATATAAATATTTTTATCACACTTAATAATGACTGCAAAAATAATATGTGTAGGTACGTGTATATATATATATATACATATGAAAAAAAAATTATTAAAAAAATACACAAGAAATCATCGCGTTCGATAAATATTTATAAAATATCTATCGTCCATAAATTCGTATTGATGAAAATTTTATCGAAATTTCTACTTGTATCGTAGAAAAGAATCGAAATTCACTGTTTTCAGAATCCAAAAATGTATTCTCTCCGAAGGACATCTTGTCTTTTCGTAATATTGAGAGATTCACTGACCGCAGCTTGGATAATCAAAGAAAGTTTCACGTATTGAACTTCCGAAGGAATGTTGTTGAAAGGGCATGTGGTGATCGAATACTAGAGAAGAAGAGGAGAAAGAAAAAGGAGGGAAAAAATGTAGGCAAAAGAGAAAGAAGGTAAGATAGAAAGAGAATCAAGTATTCTCTTCGTTGAAACTTTGTTCTTGGAAGAGAGGAAGAACTAAGCTCGACTTGCGAGGGATAGTGGTCAAAGAGCGTTGAGTAGCTGGCAAAGAGATGACCAAAGGCAAGAGAAAGTGAGAGAGAGAGAGAGAGAGAGAAAAAGATAAAGAAGAGATAAAAAAAGAGATAGGGTGAAATAGAAGAGGAAGGCTCGTTAAAGATAGGAGGGTCGAATAAGCTCGTCTGAGGGTGGTGGTATCGGAGTGGGGCGATGAGTTGATTTGGTGGGGGAAGACGAATGAAGGAAGCGCAGTACCGGTGCGTGCGGTGAAGAGACATCGCACGGAGTGGGGAGAAAGCACACAGCTGGGTCGAAGGCGGCGAATAGTGGGGGAAGTCGTTGTCCTCGGTATCTTTACGCGAGTCACGAGAGCGGCTCGTCAGTTCGACGCGGAACGCGTTGCTATTCGTATCGTTGTGTTTTTGACGTTTCTTTCTCCCTCTTTATTTCTTCATCTCTCTCTCTTTCTCTCTCACTTTCTCTCTCTCTTTCTCTCTCTCTTTCTCTCACCTCTCATCGCGCTCTATCACATTCTCACCCTCTCTCTACACACAGTTTATATATCGCTCGGTCTCCTCTCTGTTTCCTTCCAGTTCCCCGGTTTCTTTGTTTCTCTCGTTTTCGCGAGGGATAGTCACACACGCACTCACTCATTCGGAGGGCCGCTCCTGTGACACGTAATGGTGCGCGCGATTCATATCGGAGCGAACGCACTGTAACGCGAGGAACGCTCCGCCCTATGAACGTCGAGAGAGTCCAGTATCAAGAAGGAAAGGACGCCTGTGGCAACAACTGTGGTTTCGTTTTCCTAAGTTGTTGCCGCCGCCGCTGCTACTGTTGCTGTTGCTGTTGCTGCCGTTGCTGCATCTTGGTAAGTGTGTACGCGATAGCAAGAGAAAGAGAATTTGATAGAACGCGAGAATCGGCGAGCACGCGCGATACGTGCTTCATGTAACTACATAAGTAAAACCTTGTATTATATACCTATACATACACACACACACACACACACACACACATATGTACATGCGTGTTCGTTTCCCTTATTCCTTCTTACTCTTCTTTTCCTCCTCGTTCTCCTCCCTCATCCTTTTCCACCTTTTCATCCTTCTGTCTTTCTTGCTTTGAACACATCCGTATCTCATATCTCATCCCCCGTTCATTCGCGTCCCTTTCGCGCGCAGTCTCCGTCATTTTTCCTCTCTATTATATCCAGACAGACCTTCGAAATCTCGTGTCGTTTAAACGTTTCCCTCGTTTATACATTTTCCCCCCGATAGGTTCTCTCTCTCTCTCTCTCTCTCTCTCTCTCGCTCGCTCTCTCTCTCTCTCTCTCTCTCTCTCTCGCTCGCTCTCTCTCTCTCTCTCTCTCTCTCTCTCTTTTTCTCTCTCTTTTTCTCTCTCTAAAATTCTCTTCACATCGTTCGTAGTAATTTCGTAAAAGAACAGTTGATTTCGTAACTATGTACTCCGGACTTTGTTAATCCAATTAAACATATATAAACATATATATATATATATTATATGTGTGTGTGTGTGTGTTTGTATGAATGCGAATGTGTGACTATGTTTAAGAAGATAAAAATCTACAATTGGCCCTTTCAATGAAAGACTCTACATCGATGACTTTTTTCCTGGCTGCTTTGCATCTCGGCACTATGGTCATTATCGGTGACTTTAATGCCGACTCGTTACCTAACTCCACAACGATTCTTCTTACCTCCATGAATTACTTTTGTTCCAACAAGCTTTCACCTATGCCGTTTACCGATACGCGACAGGCACGGACAAGTTGCAGATATATTATATTATTCCTAATAGTTTCGGTTTTGTTTGTTAACATAACACGTAATAATATCGAACCTTCGTACATTATTCTTTTTTGTTTTTCTTTGCACAAGCGATTTTTTTTTCTTCCTTTTTTTTTCTTTTTCTTTTTCTTTTTTTTTTTTTTTTTTTTTTTTCTTTTTTGATTGCGTCTAGGAAATTATATTTCGCAAGAGGAAAGAGGGAGAGAGAGAGAGGGAAAGATAGAGAGGGAGAGATAGATAGAGAGAGAGAGAGAGAGAGAGAGAGAGAGAGAGAGAGAGAGAGAGAGAGAGAGAGAGAGAGAGAGAGAGAGAGAGAGAGAGAGAGAGAGAGTATGTGTATTATGACTTTAGAAATAGGAGAATACCTTTAATATGCGTCTTTTGTAACTAGCGAAAGCGATTACGTAGTATAATAGTAATAATAATAATAATAATAATAATAATAATAATAATAATAATAATAATAATAATAATGGGAATATTAAGCTATAAATCGAAAAGGTTTATTGATTAAAGCAAAATTTCAGAAATTTGTTACACTAGATCTAGTTTCTAGTGGGATAAATTTATCATGTTTGTATAGTCTAATGAGTTTTCTCTTTGTTTCACTTCTTTCTCTCTCTCTCTCTCTCTCTCTCTCTCTCTCTCTCTCTCTCTCTCTCTCTCTCTCTCTCTTTCTCTCTCTCTTTCTGTCTCGACATTTTGTCGAAACGAGATAGCCCTGGATAAAAAATCGCCGACTTTATAAATACCATCCTACCATAATTGGATCGTTAGTACACTGATTTTTAGATGTATTTTAAATTCATGGCGCATTTCTACTTGCTGAAGTAGTAGAGTGAAAGAGAGAGAGAGAGAGAGAGAGAGAGAGAGAGAGAGAGAGAGAGAGAGAGAGAGAGGAGAGAGAGAGAGAGAGAGAGAGAGAGAGAGAGAGAGAGAGAGGAGAGAGAGAGTTTACCACTACCATCATCATTGCATGGCTCGTTTGTATGTTTTTTATTTCTTTTTTTTTATTTCTTTTTTTTTATTTCTTTTTTTTGTGTGTACATTCTCGTTCTCTCTATCTCTCTTCTATAATTTTATTTTCGCAACGATTTTTATATACGCATTAGTTACGTGTATTTTTACATTTGCAATCTCTCAGTTATAGGATTATTATCGTCGCCAATGTAAATTTACAATATATATACCCATCGTATGTACTTATAATGTTGTTATTGTTATTATTATTATCATTTGTTTAATTATTTGTATTTATTTTTTTCCGTTCATGTCGTCGCGAATATAAATTTGCAATGTAAACAGTGCTCTATTCTCGTTAATAACACCCTTCGTAGTATTTCGTTGCTTTTCAAAAAAAAAAAAAAAAAAAAAAAAAAAAAAAAAAAAAAAAAAAAAAAAAAAAAAAAAAAAAAAAAAAAAAAAAAAAAAAAAAACAAGAAGAAAGGAAAAAAGAAAAGTATCTTGCTTATTACACGTTCCATTTAATACGTAGATACATATTTATTTCTTCTTTTTTTTTTTCTAGTCTTCTTTCTTTTTTGTTTATATTTGTTTCTTTTTTTCTTTTTTCTTTTTTCATTTTTCTTTTCATCGTTCCTTTCAGATTTATATTCCTCGTTCGCATCGATTGTAAAATAGCTTCGTTATTTTTAGAAAAATAATAGAATCGCATCGAATTTCATTCATCGTTATTATAGCTACTCACTCGAGCATCTTTATTGATCGGATTATCTTCTTATTCTTTCGATTAGAAAATTCTCATTAGATTATAAGAGAGGACAATTCGAGACGTCTACCCTAAATCAAGATCAGGTCGATGCCAATAAAAAAATTCGTTTTACTCGTCGAAGTCTTAATATCTTCAAGAAGTGGAAAGTAAAAAGATTAAAAGGAACAAAAGAAAATAAATAAAGAAGAAGGGAAAAATAAATGAAAAAGAAAAAAGAGGAAACAAAAGAGAGAAGACGAAAGATTCTTACCAGATCGATATCTCGTTCTCGCTCGTATATGTAAGTGCAGCAAACGTGTAATCCTGGTTGCTGCAAGTTGTATGTAATTCACGATCTTAACTCCAGTATAACGTCCGTGTAACTTTAAAGTTTCACCCTTTATGTGCATATATATATATATATATATATATATATATATGTATGTATGTATGTATTTTTTATATCTTATTTAATTTTACGTTTAAATTATTACGATTAAATTACATTTAATGTTTTTTAAAATTCCAATTTATTCTTAATACATTATAATAATATTATTATATATATAAAAAAAGTAGTACTCTCTCTCTCTGTCTTTCTCTCTCTCTTTCTCTCTCCTCTTTCTCTCTCTCTCTCTCTCTTTCTCTCTCTCTCTCTCTTTCTCTCTCTTATATTGTACAAGGTAGAGAGGAAGTTCCTAGGTCGTTCGAAAAAAAAAAGAAAAGAAAAAATTTGAGAGCTTTTAAATTTAGGCCTATAGTTTGATTTGTAATTTTACAAGCTAGGTTTGTTAGTTTTACAATCATATAAAAAAAACTTTAGCTAAAAGAAGCCCCGAAAATGAGTAATCGATATTTAAAAATCATTTAGGAACTTTTAGACTGTTTAGAAATTTTTAATTCACCCCGTATAATTTTTTTTCTAACGGTATTCAAGTAAGATAATTCTCATTGTTTTCTTTCACGGATAATCGAATTCAGGAAAGTGGCACGCGCGAAACAAGTACTATTTTATAATCCGACTATTATGTTTTGTAACGAAAGAAAAGAGATATACAATATGCTTCTCTTTCTCTCTCTCTCTCCTCTCTCTCTTTTTCTCGTAAATTATTTGCTTTTGGTCAATTTAGTGAACGAACCATAGCTATGATAAAAAGAGAGAGAGAGAGAGAGAGAGAGAGAGAGAGAGAGAGAGAGAGAGAGAGAGAGAGGAGGGAGAGAGAGGAAAAGAGCGTGACTATATTCTCTCTACTATCGAAGTGCTTTACTTCGTGAGGGACATGATTTATCCTTCTTCCTGCTTCCCTCGAAAAATTATTGTCTCACGTAGATTATTTGCGATGGGGAGCAGTGGGATAGAGCAGCGGCTTCTACTGCAAGTGCATTCGCTCTTGAATTATGACGTTATCAAATGGAGTAAGAGAAAGTAACACATTTTTTATCTTTTATTTTTTTTTTACACACACTTAATGAATTCTTCGACATTTAATTGCCCACCCCCTTTTTTTATACGCACATATATATATATATATATATATATATATATTATTTCTTTTTATCTTATTTTTTGTTTTTTATGTTCTTTATTTTTTTTTATTCTTCTTCTTTATATTTTTTTTATCAATAATTGAATCTCTCAAGAAGTAATAAGTTTTTTTTTTTATTTTTATATCATTTCATTTCATTTCATATATACAACGTATCGCATTGAAACTATTTACTTTCCTACCATTTTTGTCAAAACAAAACTTTACTATTTATCTCAAATTACAAATGTACGTAAGCTAACTAATTCGTTCTATTACTCCGTAAAATAGATACATATTTTTCTTTGCAAGGGAAAGGAAAAAAAAGAGGAAAGAAAAAAAGGAAAAAAAAAAATGAAGAAAAAAAATCGATTAACTTATCGCAAAGATCGTTTTATACATATATAAAATTGTACAAGTTCGTTTTCACGTGAGAAAATATAAGAACGTTGTATTTCTCGTTCGGAATCACATAGACAAGATATAGCCGGGGATTCCCCGAGATTCGAACATAGTTCGTTGCAGCTATCGAGATCCTCAACTATTGCGGTAAACGCGAGACGATGCTTGGATATCCAACAACTAGTCGGACAACAACGACGTCATTCGATCGGAATTTCAAAGATCTTAATTAAAGACGGAAGAAGGAAAAAAAAAGGAAAGAAATACTGATGTGGTGTCACGATTGCACCACGAGACAGAAAAAGATTGTGTGTGTGTGTATGTGTATGCGAGAGAGAGAGAGAGAGAGGAGAGAGAGAGAGAGAGAGAGAGAGAGAGAGAGAGAGAGAGAGAGAGAGAGAGAGAGAGAGAGAGAGAGAGAGAGATTGCTCTCATCTATGTGGTCACAGAGTCGGCATAGTCATACCTATAACCTTCTTTAGATTAATCCTTTCTCGGTATTAATCGATTAACCGTTTTCTACGTTGTTCCGTTTTTTAATTTTTTTTTTTTTCTAATTTTTTTTTTTTAATTTTTTTTTTTATTTCTATT